TGTCCCTGTTACAGCAAAAACTCTGATATGCCCACAAACACAAATTGGGGAGCAGAAATTCCTAGAATTCTTTTAATTTGTTTTAAACATACATAAATCACCACACTGTAGTCTTTTCCACATAAAATGCTGCATTTGTTGCAAACAAAATCTTAAAATCTCCACAAACACAACCATACAGTCCCAAGAATCAAATTACTACAGTGCGGTGGGGAAAAACCACACAACCCCCCATGTACCTCAAATCCCAGGAATCAACTTTTAACAAGCTGTCTTTGTTACAGCTCTAACAGCCCACAAACACTGGTTCAAGATAAAACCCTTCTAAAAGGGTTGCTTAACCCTTTCAACTCAGGCTCAAGCTTAATGTACAGCTTAACAACACAGCTGACACAAAACGAAAATTACCAGTTTGTAACAATTATAAGTTTTACTCAATAACCAGCAAAATCTCACACTACACCAGATGAATCCAAACTTGCAACTTTGCAAACTCTGCAAGGAGAGGGACCACAAACGTACCGTGTTACAGCATTCGACCCTTGCCTCCCAGGTCCCACAGGCAAAGGATTGGTTAATACCTGAACACTAAGTGTTATGAAAGACTGGTTATAGTCAAATACTAGGTGTCACAGGGAATACTGTTCCCTGCAACTAGAAAGTTCAAACATGCAAACTCACTGGGAAAGGGGTATTTCTTTCCACACACATGACACAGTTATAACAACCTTAGACCAGAATTTGCCCTTACAACTGCTAGCCCCAAATTGTTAGCAAACTGAGCCCTCTACAGCAGAACAAATGGCAAAATCCCCTTCTGCCAGCAACAAAAGCCTGAGCTCGGTACAACAGTTCAACAACTCTTTCTGCTGACAACTAGATAAACCAGATTTCAACTGCAACTTCAGCTTGCAAGCACACTACAGAGGCACAAGTTGTGCGTGGGATGTCTCCCATGACTTACCAAATGGCCTTTCTTGACCATGCATATGCCTTACAGGTCACTATTTAAAACTGTTTCAATTTTCAAACATACCATTTTGTCCGGAGTTTTAGTAATCAGGGGTCCTTGTCTGCTGCTGGATCAACAGTCTGGGCAGCGGAGCCCACTCTTCCAGGAATATCCCGGGGGCGCCCTGAGGAGTTCTACGACCCAGGCTGTTCTCACAGCCGAGCAGTCTCCTCCTGGCTTGGCTCGCCAATGGAGTCGTTAAAACCGAAGATCATGGACAAAGACACTCTAATTAATCAAAGTTAGAAAGTGGTATGTTTATTACGCTGGCAGTCATGCCTTTCAGGGACGACCCCCGTGCCACCTGCCCCCGTGCCACCCACCTTGGACTTCTCAGTAGGAGGACAAGGATGGGAGACCTTAGCTATTAGTAGCTACAGATCATCTACAAGGACCTCTCGTGATTAGTGGGCTAATATGAACTGTCATTGTCTACTTTATTCAAAGTTGTTTCTTTGTATTTACTTGCCATACCTGGTGCAGGGGCAAGATGTGGAAAAGTTGGGAGGGGGTGTTTCAAATGTTAATTTTTATATCATGCTGGGCAGTTAAAAATAAAGGTAAGTTAATGATAACTAAGATTTATAAAGACAAATAGGCAAATAAGGAGGGTTTGATAGGAAAAGTGTGTGCTTATGTCTTTACAAACAATTTAATGGGTGAGGGTATGGGTGTTAACGTCTTTGAAATGGGTCTTAGTGTCTCTACTAACTTTGGGCAGCAGATTTGTTGCAGAGCCTGGACAGTTTGACTCCTAAAATAGACAAATGGGTGTTGGCATAAGCTTGAGTGTCATGGTTTGATGCTGGCACAATGCCAGTGCCCCCATGAAAATATATGCTCCCTGGTGTCTGCTGTGAGATGTGAGCAGAAATAGAGCAAAGCAGGCTCCAGCTTAGGAATAAAGAAAAGAACTTTATTAACTTACAATATGAAAAAAAAGGAACACACAGAACTCAGAATGAAAACCTTCCAAAAACATTCCTCCTCCTCCCCCCAGTTTTTACCACCACACAAAATAGAACCTTAGATTCTCAATCCAGTTACCACCCCTCAGATCACCAACTCTGAGTTCATCACCACCCCTCAGATCACCAACTCTGAGTTCATCACCACCCTTCAGATAATCAACTCTCAGTTCGTCGAGAAGAGAGGAGTCCCTCTTGTACCATAGGCTTCCCCAGGAAACACAGCTGAAACCTCTTGTGTTTCCATGTCACACGTGGCACCGCCCGGAGAACGTTTGCTATCGGGACATCTTCCTTCCATGTACAGCGCTCTCACCACTGTGCATGGACCAGAGCTGCTTCTAGGGTTCCCTTTTTAAGGATACTTTGCCCAGTTCCAAAAAACCAACAGTCTCTCACTTTCGGGACACCTGTCCCCCCCCAAATGCACCCCCCGGGGCCAAGAGGTCTAGAGAACAGAGATTTTCTTCTTCACTGAAGACAGAGGGCACCACCCTCCTCATCTGTCATCTCTGTTCATGTCACTTCTTCACATAACATCACTGCACTCTCTTGGCTCCGAGCCATTGCCTTTCCCCCAAATGCAGTCCCCGTGTTACAGAAAAAAAATTGGTTCTGTCCATGGCTATACAAGAAAAGTCCAGCTGAAAGGCCACTCCACCATCTCCTCCCACCTAGGATTCTTCTCAACTCTTGTGGCATCTTTCACTTGCTCGAACCTGCATCACAGTTGCCCATTTCCTTCCATTTTATGTTTGTCTCTCTTCTAGGAGGGTTTAATGTTTTGCAAAGTTTTCATTGTCCAAGAAACGGATTAAAATCTCAGGCTCTGCCTGCCCAGAACTCCTACGGCTGCCAGCTGCCTGGCACCTTCTCGCTGCACCCCCCCCCCCCCCCCCCCCCGCCCCTTCCCCTTCTCGGCAGCACAAGATATCAAATTTCAAGGTGGCACAGGCTCTCTCTCGCTCTCCCTCCCGGGGGGGGGAGGACGGGGGAGACGGACGGACTGCCCGATGCCTCTCAGTGTTCCTCCATCCTTCCATCCTGCAGGGGTCTTCTCTGTCCAAGGCTCTGGCCTACCTCAACCCCTGCTGCATGGCTTCCCCTCCCCCACCCAGCCCGCAGATGGGCAGGGGAGGTCTGACCTCTTTCAGGGACCAGAACCAAGAGAGAGTTCCCCTGGGCGTTCTCTGCTTTTTAACCCCCTGTGTTCTCAGAGGCGTATCCATGTCTTCAGTGGCCACACCAGGTGCCAATATTAAAATCTGAGCACTGATTGGTTGGACCACAACCTCCCAAAAAACTCACTTCCTTATCAAACCAAGGACACTGAGTTTCTGAACTTTGGGGTAAAATGACATGTTTAAGGTGGGAATATGTGGTAGGCAGTTCAGGAAGGCTGTACCTTCCTAGTACCTCAGCCAGTGGGAAAAGGAAGAGAGCAACATGCAGCCAGGAGTTTAGGGTAAAAGGAGGCTGAGCCCTCCAAACCCTTGAGAGAGAAAACCCCGCGGACGTGTGCCCCAGAGGACTCTCTTTATTCTAATAAAGTTGCTGGACTCCTCTGTCTCCTTTATGGACACTGGCTTTTCATAGTGTGATTTTCTGCACATAGATATTTTAAGTTAACTTCAGACACAATCTACAGAAACATGGACCTGAATGCTGCTATAGAACCCATGCCTTAAGGGCTACATTTCAAATCCAGCAGTTTCTGTACATAACAGTCAGCCTTTAAAAAAGGCCTCCATAAAGAATAAATTGTTTCAGTTACTACAATCAGTGTTACTAAACTATTTTTGAAGTAGAAGTGTAAGGACTATCGTGCTTTCAGTATTCCCCTACATCCCTTTCCTAACAGAAAACCCCAGCAGTCCTCTGTCATGGACATATTTTATGAAAAATCCTTTTGCTAGGATTTTTTCTCCTGAGAAGCTGAGAGGCCTCAGAGGAAAAGAAAAACAATAATTATCTGCTGCTGTGGAATGCAACAGGTGCATCTTTGATTGGTCTCATGCGGTTGTTTCTAATTAATGGCGAATCACAGTCCAGCTGTCTTGGACTCTGGTCAGTCACAAGATTTGATTATCATTCCATTCTTTTCTATTCCTTGCTAGCCTTCTGATGAAATCCTTTCTTCTATTCTTTTAGTTTAGTTTTAGTATATAATTTTCTTTTCATATAATATATATCATAAAATAATAAATCAGCCTTCTGAAACATGGAGTCAAGATTCTCGTCTCTTCCCTTGTCCTGGGACCCCTGTGAACACCACCATAGTCCTCCTCAAGAAACAAGCATCTTTTTGGCCCTAAATCAGTAGGTAAAAGAGGGGTGGGGACAGAGGCATAAGACAAATCCCAAACCCAGTTCCTTTTACAGTAGGAATCCCTTACGCTCATCTCAAAACATAAGTGCTTGGTTTTAAGGAAACCTTAAAGAAAACCCAACTAAAGCTAGAGGTGGTGCTTAACCTGTTTATAAGAACAGGCTAGCTTCTAAAAAGATGCAGATCATTAACAAGAAAAAATAAAACACATTCTTCTGTATATTGACTTGTGCAGCTTTTTCCCTGCTAAAATATTTTAAAAACACAAACCATAGACACAGTGTAGAAGTGCATAGAAAAAAAACCTGCACCCATTTTGTTTTAACTTTGCAGTTTTGTTTGACCTTTTTTACTAGGTTGCTAATTTCTTCATTTAATTTATGTTCAGCCATTCCTAAGGAAATACCAATTCTACGTGTATGTTTATTTATTGAGAAAACTGCCATATTCCTTTACCCTAGTAAAAAGCAGGTTTTGGGTGTTTTCTAGGGATTTATTACAGCTCTGCTAAGTAGGTAATCTCTTAGCTCCTTGCCCTTTCCTATGATATTTTAAGTGTAGCTCCTTATGACAGGAATTACCCCATATGGTTCAAAAAGATAAGAAAAAAAAAAAGTTCAAGACACAACACAACCCCCCCAGAGTGAAATAATCCACTTAAACTGGATCAATCACACTGAGATTTACAAAGTTCTCGAATCTCTTGTTTTTGCTTTTATTTAGGAAGCGAAAATAAAACTTGTAAATTATAAATACAAATGCCAAGGTATTACATGAAATATCCAGGAGTACTTTATTATTTTTTAATTTCTCACAAATATTTCCTATGGAACTCAAGAAACAGGGAAACCAAAGAAATTGAGTCTGTATACAATGAAAATCAAGTTAGATACTGCCAATTTGTCAATTCATAAAAGTTTCTATCTGACAAAAATGAGCTCTGAAAAGTACCAATTCATTAATTTCATCAACTGCTATTTTACCTATATTTGCATTAAGCAATCTGTGTAGAACCAGGTGTATTTAACCCACTTAACTCAGTGGCATCACAGTTTTAAAATATTTTTTGTCACCTATATATAGATATATATACAATGCAGAGGGCCAAAAATATGAAAAAAGGTCAAATTTCACACAACGTAAGCATTAATATTTTTTTACTTTTTTTCCCCAATTAGCAAAGCCAAGCCAATTTTCACACTGTTTCTTTAATTTGCCAAAAACATGTAACTCCATCTATATCAAAGAAGCAGAAGAGTAAGCTTAACAGCAACTTTCATTTACGCATTTTCTGGGGGGTGGGGGGAAGGGTGTATTCATTTTAGATATTACCTTACATATATTAAAAAACGTCCACCAATAATAGGTTCACTAAATTTATTTAAAAATTGTAAAATACATCTTAAAAAAGAACATTACATTCTGCACACTGCCCTCAAAGGATGCCAGGGACATGTGAACAAACCAGTCCTTTCCCCCCTTCAAAAAAAATTTAAAAAATTACAGTGTACATAAAGCAGGGTGTTCACAATAGCTACAGGAAAAATAAAAACACATTACAATTTACTACCACTGAACAAAAATAAAATCCACTCTGCTGCTGTTTCAAAATTTCAGTGTTAGTCTTGTGCAACCTTTTCCTACCCCAAATATTTGTAATGAACTAAAACATTACATCTGGCGAAAAGCAGATTCCACTACACCTCAAATGCAGAACACCTATGAAGCAGAGGAATGTTGGCTATTTAAACAGAAGCAGATATTAAAAAAAAAAAAAAAAAGGTGCAGGACTCCTTCAGTTCTTCACTAGTCTTAGAAAAACTTTCCAGAATACTGCTTCACACTATAAAAAAGAAAAAATAATCTTGCATTAGAATCCTTCAACATCTGCATACTGCTTCACACTATAAAAGAAAAAGAAAAAAGCATGTATTAGAATGATTGACCATACATCTTACATCAGTATTTACAATGGCATTCTTAAACTATAAATTTCCAATACTATTTAAAGTAAATAATTTTGAAAGGGTAATGACTAATAATTATAGGCATTTAATTATTTAAAAGCACATTTAAATATTAGCAATCTAAAGCCAAACATTCAAGTAAACATTAAAAAAATGCTATGATAGCCAACATGTTATTAAAGCAAAACTAGGTAAACTATGTCCAAAACTATTAATATTCAGAAGAAGAGAAAGTAATGCCAGCAAGGTGTGAAATGCTGCATAACAGCACCAATTGATTTCAACTTGTCCTGTAGAGGCATGGCCTGTGCCATATGGCAGACTGTGATTTGTTGTTGGTTATCTAAAAACAACAAAATCACTAGTCTTCCACACAGAACTAGACCAACATCCACTGAAATCTTCTATATTTTCTACAGGTTCTATATAATTAATTACAAGTAATTTTTTTGCAGCAATTTTCACCAGAGAAATGAAAGGACTGCTTGGCCAAGGTGTCTTCCATCAAGATTAGTTTCGAGGGAATTTTCATTTTCGTTAAAACAGAGAAAAGAGAATCAAGGCAGACTCTACCACTAGAGAAGTTAGGTTCAATAGTTACTTAAATCCTGTCTTCTAAAAACTATATTACAGAGAAGAGCTTTAGAATGTAGTAGTAGGAAAGTCAGTTTAAAAATTATAGTAAGGACAGCATTAAGCTTCAACTTGCCTGTTCTGCAGTAAATATTGAGCATTTTGTATCTGGTCCTGCGTTCCTGTAATAGTTATTATTCGATCTTCTGAGCCTTCTAGTGGTTCATCGATTTTGATTGAAGCTCCTGACTCATGACGTATTTGTTTGATTCTCTGGCCTCCCTTTCCAATAATAGAACCTGCCAACTAGGGGAGAAAATAAAGCATTCATTTCTTGATATAACTTTCTCTGCACAGTACTGTTCAAATAGCTTCCCATCCATTTAGTTTTAAGAGTTTCAATGGAAGCTTGCTCTTTTACAGCCTCAAAGCAGTCGCTGTAATGTATATTAGTAAACAGAGGTGGGATAAAGTTGGAAGAACCAAGTGTTTGTAAAACCAAGTTATATAGACTATCTCTATTATTGAATATTAACAATTAAAAATAGTTCAGTGCAATCTCTAAAGTCAAGACAAAACAAACATCCTTAAGAATAAACTTCCAATGATTTAGAAACACTCACTTTATATTAAAAGTACTTATCAAGCATACCAAATACTTCTGATTTACTTACATAGCCTAAGAAAAGACTGTGACTTTTTATTTATTTATTTAAACACAATTGTAAAGCAAGTCAGCTTCACTTACATCTTTGGGAATTGTTACTTGCGTTGTGATGATGGGTCCACCAAGATCTCCATATGAACCACGGCCCCCTGTGTAAGAATAGTCTGATTTAAACATATGCATCAAGCCTCTTACTGACTAAATGAAGTGCATGTCAAAGTTCTCTATAAAAACTTACCATATCCAGAGCCACCTTCAAACTATAAGAAAAAGAGAAAGAAAAACCTTAAATAGTGAAACCAGCAGTGATTCATTAACATGTTTCCATCTCAAGTATTATACTGTTAACTTTGAGCTTATTTTATGCAAAAATCCTAACCCACAACCTTAATCTAAGTGTCATTAAAGACAAAGTGGGGAAGAGGGCAGACCAGGAACAAGAGGGCAGGGAGGAATCTCACAAGAACCTTTTAGCTAGCTCTGTTAAAATCTCTAAGAATAAGTCATTAAGATCTAGCCATACCAATTTACCAAGCAACCTTATCAATTCAGTTGGTAAACAGCTCTTGATATTGATCTATTCTTGACCCTTGAACTAAACTAGTATTCAAATCCAAAGATCAGAGTTCAGCCTTATTATTACTACCTATACAGCTCAGGAGAAAATAAAGTTTCAGTTTGAGACAAGACATTTACCTGGTAACTGTCAACCCTCCTACTCCATCTTGAGGAAAAAACAATTCAACTCTAATAACTTGTCTCTCTCCATTTAGACTGTACTACAATCCTTTGCGCATCTTAGAAGGGACAATCATGACACTTATTACTACTGTTCTGCTAAAACTATCATATAAAAAATCCAAATCATTGTACTGCAGCACTCCTGACTTTTTATTTTTAGGACTGGTACTTGATATCAAGTGCTTAATTTGATCTAATGCCTTTTGTATGCACACACATTCATTTTAATCTTCCTGTAGAAGCAGAAATAGATGTGCACACTTCTCTAGAACTCAACTGATAACACTGAAATACAGGAATCTGTGAAGTACTTGTTTGCAGAAGTTGTAATGCAATAATTTTTTCCAAAACAAAAACCAAACACCTGTCAGCTTTTTAGAGCCAAATCAAAATGGAAGCTATTCAGAAAAAGTTATTTGTTTCTAAGCAACCTGTGTTGTGCAATCACATTGCTTAGCAATACTGACCATAATACAATATAAAAAGAGCTTGTAGTGGAGTGCAAAATACAAAACAATGAAGGACACTGCGTAGAACTTAATTCAGAGACTGATCAGAGCTGCATATTCCACACATACTCTTCTACCTATTTCTGCTGATATTTTGCCCAGGGAATCTCTTTTTTGGGCTAACTTGTAATGAACAATCATTTTCTTCATCCTTTCTGCTGCTTCCCCTCCCCAGACTACAAGACAGCAAATTAATTTGACAGCACATGAGTAATTCTAACTGCAATGTTTATGTAAGCTAGGAACTAACATTTAATATTTGGTGGCACTTTAACATCTTCTACAGAGCATAAACACTTGCTGATACCCTTTGAACTTTCCTCCCTAAACCCTCTAAGAGTAAGAAGTTTGATAAACACAAATCAAATAGAATATTTCAAATATATGGATAGGTAATGCACAAGTTTATCCAGAACTATAAGTAAAGAATTACTTTTAGCATTCCTTATTTGAAACAGGGGAAAGCACAACATGATGAAGTTAAAATAAAACATAGTCCTAAATAGATGCATCTACAGGGTGCTGACAAAGCAAGAATTACAGCAAAAGTTACAGCAGAAACAGTAAAATAGGGTACAAAAGAGACAGTACTACAGAAAAGCTTCTCTTGGCTGTGCTGCTACATGCTTCCATTGAGGAACATTAACTGCCTGTATAGGATTCACTGTTTAGGACATAAACTGCTAATAACTTGAGTTACAATGACAGCTTTAGGGACTTTTCAAAGGTGCAAGCTGCCACTAACTACATTCAATCTCAAAAAATTCCAGTTATCACTCAAACAATTCAAATTATTTTCCTCAAAAATAAATTCTTAAACTAGTCAAATAAAAGCATGAGCACACTCACCAACTCTGGTGGCTGCATGTCATCACAGGCATCTACATGACACTGCATCATCTTCCAGGGACAATGTAATAGAAGAAAAAGAGGAAATGAATTCAAATTAAGTCCATGTTATGGAGACTTATAGATAACTTGGCAAACACACACAGAGCAATATAAAGAAACATTTTTCTGCACTACTTAAAACTACTACAAAGGCTCAAAAGTAAATAACAGACCAGTTACACGATTTACTCCCTTTTACTGTCACTGCTAGGGAACTGTTACTGGTCACACTTCCTTTTTCCCTTGTTTCTGTGGCATAAACACATTTTCCTCTTACACAAAGGATTCAGACAGTTAAGGGCCGAGCAAAGCTTGAACAGTTGGTTACTTGGTTTTTTACCTCTAAGTACTGGAACTGCACTATATAGTAAAAGATGTTACTCTCAGATACCAAAACCTTCTACTTCTCTTATGCATAAAATAAAACAGGAAAGGCATTTAATAGAACAAGTAACTGTCATTGATATATCTGTGTCACCAACAGGTCAAGCAGGAAGGAGACAGCTTCTCATATGTTATTATTTTCCATATACCTCATACAGCCAACAGCTAAACTAATAATCTACTACTGTCTAATTATACTGGAAATCCAATTACTTTTTTTTTAAAGTGTGATAAATAGCATATCTTTCCTTTAGTCTTCCTTAACAAATGTTGGGAAAAAAATTCAACAAAATTATAAAAATACAATTTGTAGTATCCACTTCAAATTACTATTATGGCAAAGGCCTTTGCTGAGTTAAAACATGCAACATAACATGGATGACACACCAAAAAAAGGATGACACCACTGATGAATTATTCTTTAAGGAACTAAGGGACACCTCCAAATCAACTGCCCTTAACATTTTGAGGAACTTCATCTTGCTGGATGTTAACTGGAACACCACACAGCTGGTACAACCAGGGCCAGAAGATTCCTAAAAACACTTGGATGACATCATGGTACAGATACTAGGGGAGCCAACTAGGAAAGGGGCCTTCCTTGATTTGTTGCTCGTTAACAGAGAGGAGCCCAAGAATGAAGTGGCGGTTGGTGGCCATCTTAGCCACAGTGACTACAAAACAATCAAGTTTAAAATCTCTGGTGAGAGGAAAACAAGTGCCAGCAAAACTTCAACCCTGGACATGAGGAGAGGAGGCTTCAAGTTGCTCAGGGAATAAGTAAGGTCCCCTGGGAAAATGCTTTGGAAGGTGCTGGGGTCCATTAGTGCTGATCACTTTTTAAGCACCACCCCCTAAGGGCACAGGCAATTCCCAAATGTCAGAAGTCAAGCAGGCAAGGCAGAAGGCCAGCTTGGCTGAGCAAGGATCTTTTTCTGGAGCTAAGGCAAAAGAGGAAGGTGTATGCCCAGTGGAAGCAAGGTCAGGTGATATGGGAAGAATACAGAGATGCTGCTTGCCCCAGTAGGGAGAAAATCTGGGCAGCCAAAGCTCAACTGGAATTGAAGCTGCCGGAACTGCGGGGGACAATAAAGTTTTCAAAATATATCAGTAGCAAAAAGGAGACCATAAATAACATTGGCCTGTTACAGGATGAAGATGGCCACCTCACAGAGACAAGGCAAACGTCTTTAATGCATTCTTTGCCTCTGTCTTCAACTCGGATGACAAACCAAGGAGGTCCCAGCACCCTGAGCTGGAGGACAGTGACTGCAAGAATGATCAACTCCCAGTTAACCCTGTAGTTCAGCAGGATCTGCTGCTCCAGGTGCATCCCTATAAATCTATGGTGCCTGATGGGATTCATCCAAGAGTACCCAAAGAGGTGGCTGATGTCATTGTGAGACCTCCCTCAATGATTTTTGAATGATCTTGGGAATCTGGAGAGGTCCCAGCTGACTGGAAGCTGGCAATGGTTGTCCAAATTTTCAAGGGCAAGAAGGATGACCATGGTAACTACAGGCCTGTCGGTCTCACTTCAGTACCTGGTAAACTTATGGAAAGGATTATTCTGGGAGCTACTGAAACACACGTGATAGATAATGTCTATGTTGCAGTCATTGGTCACAGCTAGCACAGCTTCATGAGGTGAAGGTCCTGCTTGACAAACTTGATTTCTTTTTTGACAAGGTAACCCACCCACTTGATCAAGGGAAGCCAGTTGATGTGATCATTTTAGATTTCAGTAAACCTTTCAATACTGTCTCTCTCAGGATCTTTCTGGACAAAATGTCCAGCTGGATAACAACGTCATGCAATGGGTGGACAACTGGCTCATAGGTCAGGCACAAAGGGTTATAGTGAATGGGGTGACATCAGACTACTGACCTGTCACTAGTGGGGTTCTGCAGGGCTCCATTTTAGGGCCAGCTCTCTTTAACATCTTCATAAATGACTCAGACACTAGATTTGAAGGTATACTAAGTAATTTTGCCAACAACACTTAAGTGGGAGGAGCTATTGACTCCTTTAAAAGCAGGGAGGCCCTGCAGAGAGACCTCAACAAATGAGAGGCCATCACCAACCATATCAAGTACAACAAGGGAAAGTGCTGGATTCTGAACCTGGGATGGGACAACCCTGGATGTACAGACTGGGGAAAAAGATGTTGGAAAGCAACACCACATAAAGGGACCTGGAGGTCCTGCTTGATGGCAAGTTTAACATGAGGCAGCAGTGCCCTGGCAGCCAGGAGGGCCAATTGTGTCCTGGGATGCATCAGGCCCAGCATCACCAGCCAGTCAAGGGAAGTGATTCTCTTGCTCTGCTCTGCACTGGGGTGGCTTCACCTTGAGTCCTGTGTGAAGTTTTGGGTGCCAAACTAGAAGAAAGATATTAAGCTATTAGAGAGCATCCAAAGGCAGACTATGAAGATGGTGAAGGGTCTTGAGGGGAAGCCATATGAGGAACAGCTGAGGTCATGGGAGAAGGGAAGACTGAGGTGATACCTCATTGCAGTCTACATCTTCCTCAAAAGAGGAAGCGGAGGGGCAGCACTGATCTCTTCTCGGGTGACCAGTGACAGGACTCAAGAAGACAGCACGAAGCTGTGTCAGGGGAGGATACCAGGAAAAGTTCTTCACCCAGAGGGTGGTTGGGCACTAGAAGCCAGGGCACTGGTCACAGCCCCAAGGCTGCCAGAGCTCAAGAAGCATTTGGACAGTGCTCTGAGGCACAGGGTAGGATTGTTGGGGTCTCCTGTACAGAGCCAGGAGTTGGACTCAATGATCATTGTGAGTCGCTTCTAACTCAGGATATTCTGTGATTCTATGAAAATGTAAGTGCTCCTTTAAAAATGGTTCCTAAAATATTAGGTGCATACAATTTTCTTCTTTACAGATTCATTTGTGCTAGTTACTACTGGTAACCAATGCAAATTAAATCAAAACCAAATACAACACTGACTGGATAAGACAAAATTATTAGTATTATTAAGAATTTATTGCTTTTTGCATGCAATTGAAAAATACGCATGCAATACTAACTGATGGGAAATTCCTTGGCCCAGAAGAGTGAAAATTGAAATTTTGTTAATTTTAGTATTTATGTAGATGTGTCAAACATATTTTCTTCACTCTCTCTTTTTTGACGTGCTCCTTAACATCAAGTCTCTTAAAACATAAAGTGTGTTTAATATTTTTTTAGGGTATGTACCTTTATTGAAGTCCTAATACAGACACATGTATACACACACATATATATAATGATTTAGCAGCAGAAATCATTTGAATGAGAAAAACCAGATGAGGTGTCTGAACATACGCTACAACAGACACTGATTTAGCTCTTGTTCAACTCCAATTTAAAAATACTTTGAAAGCATTAGGCATAGGCCATTATAACAAAAAAAAAAAAAAAAAAGGGGAAGTGGAGGATTAAACAGCTTTATATGTACTTTTCCACCTTATTTTTTCCCTGGTATGTTTTTGTGCATTTGTCTATCTAAAGCACCCATGGGGATGGGGGTGTTAAAAAAATAGCAGAAATGCATTTGTGTTTTCTCAGCTATCAAAATAGCTGTCATGGCCCATAGGCATTTAGTACTTACAGCCTAAAATATATACCACTGTAAATAAGAGAAACAATGCATGTATGTTTTCCAGTAAAATGCTTCAGAATAAATGATATATATATACACACACACACAATTATTTTTTCCTCCCATCTTCAACTTTACAAGACTGTCAGTCTTGTTACATCTTAAAAAAGTCAAGTTTCACCATCCAGTCTTGGTTCACCATCTTACAAGTCTGAACTTTCTCATTTTTAGAGAAGAGATCTGACAGAAAATGAGGATTTCAGTAGATTCAACATCTCCAAGATGTTGGTCTGAAAAGACTATTCTTGCCTTTTAATGTATTTATGTAAAATGGCAGTCCTGCTCTCTGAAATTAGCCTTTCCCATGCATTACTTCACAAATCACAAGGATGTTAGTTTACTCTAAATGTTTCACTGTGACTGTGGTCACAAGGGTTTTCAGGATGAAGAAGAGATGAGAATGTTGACTCTATGATCAGAAGGCTTGATTTATTATTTTATGATATATGTTACATTAAGACTATACTAAAAAGAAATAGAAAGGAAAAGGTTTCTTCAGAAGCTAGCTAAGCTAAGAATAGACAAGAATGAATAACTAAGATCTGTGTCTCAGACAGAGAGCAAGAGCCAGCTCTGCCATGAGTGGTCAGGAAATCTAAACATTCACAGGTCTACCTGTTGCATTCTACAGCAGCAGATAACCATTGTTTACTTTTGGTTGCTGAAACTGCAGCTTCTCACAAGGAAAAATCCTAAGAAAGGATTTTTCATGAAAGATGTCTGCGACATTTCACTACAGAATGGTTTCTATGTGAAATGTATAGTAGCTCAAGACCTTATATTTCTGGTATGACACTTTCAGTTTTAGCCTCACAATCCATGGAAAGATTTTTCATGTGCTTATACAATTAAGGATACTGGGATTATGGCTAGCCAAAAGTAGAAATTAAATAAGATCTGTGTCAGAAAGCAGTCCTCATTGTAGGCTGTCTATGAAACTCATGCATAAAGCAGCCAAAGCCACGAGCAGCTCCACTGTGAAGAGGAAGAAATAGAATTGCTTTTCAGAACGTGGAAAACAAGCAAGCAGAGATGACTCCTATTTATTTGTAGAAACTCGTGTCAAGAAAGCCAAGGTCAACCTGATCAAAGTCAGACTAGAGTTCAAATAGATTTCTCTATTCTAAATGGAATGGAACAGAACTAGAACACACTATTGCCCCAAGCTGAAGACTGTTCTCAACCACATACCCAAGGAAGGGCAGATTGCTCTGTTTATATGCCCTGACATTGGTTTTACCAGATGCTAATAAGAAAACACAAAACCCGAGCTTTGAAAACATGAAAATACAAAGAAGTGCTTTTAGAGGTCTAGTTCATAACTCCTAGTTTCTTAAGATTCTGAGTAGCATAGACAACTTGCTGGTTTTAATGTTGTGGGTTTGTTTTATTGTGGGTTTGTTTACTTCTTTTTTGGGAGGGTGGGGGTGGTTTGTTTGGTTTTAGTAATTTTAAATGCAAGTCTTTAATTTTAGTCGTTCTGCTAGGCTTACGGTGCCTCAATTGTGACATTGTTTCAATATGTTCTTCCAGTATGTGTTACTGGAAGTAATTGCCTCTTCCTCCCAGGAGGCACCAATGTGTAAATCTCATTTAGGTAGCCCATTTCATAGTTCCTCTACTTTCTCTTCCATTTATTTTAAATAATCTAATCTCACCTGTCATCTTAAAGAATGTGCCAAACAGAGCCAGAAGAGGTAAAAAAAAAAAAAAAAAAAAAGAGATTGTTAACCAGAGGTTTACCTCTGAGATACCTAGAATTTCTCTTCCCAGGAAAGAGGATACAATAAATTACTACCAGGAAGTCATATTTCAGAGTACAACATGGAGGAATATCTTTACGCATTTTTTAATTCTCCTCACCACCCAACATGGTTGAAACGTATCTAATTTCATTTGAAATTCATCTTATCAGTGGTCCTGGCTCCAAAACATTTGAAATCATAGTAGATTTTTTTCAGACATAAATTGGCATAAAGAACTGAATTGAAAAAGCAATTATCTGTCAGACCAACTAGATCCCTTTAAAGATATTATTCACACTCTCTTAAATTTTGTTAACATTTGTTGGAAAACATTGTTCTGACATGCTTTCTTAATCTGAACAGCCTACCAATTTCTATTTCTGTCATCCTGATTTACAAGCAACAGTCTACAAGAAGGTCTGTATAATTAAAACCTGAAGGGACTGTGCTCTACCAACTTTCTATTCCATTATTGATGGTAGGCAGGGAAAAACAACCAACCAACCAAACAAAATCCCACAAACTATAACCACACAGCAGATCACATCCCAGATACTCTTTACACCTCCAACAGCTGTATTCTTGGGGAGACCATTTGTATGGCCAAAAGATTGTGGAGATATCAAAGTTTATCAGAGGTACACATGTTCCACACTTAAATGTATGTATTCAAGAAGTTTCCTCAAAGTGCTAACTGTATTTACTAAGCAAAATAAATTTTAGCCTCCTACCATTCCATCGTAACGGTCTCCAGGTCTACCTCTTCGGTCATAAGACATAAGATCTCTAAAATGAGAAAAAGCAGCAGCATATGACTCATGTTATGAACTAGTTTATATATTCTAATTCAAGTTTTAACAATTTGCACACAATTATGAATTTCTAAATGCTTTAGCCTAGTTCTGAATGACATAAAGTTACAGAACTACTAGTCCTGATAATACTGTAGAAATAATTAAATTCAAATGCTTTCAAAATTTTCTGGTGCAATACACACTCAATTCTGAATAACTACTAGCAACATGGAGTGTGAAACAAGTCCTGGAACATGAACACAATTCAGTAAATGTTACTCAACTTGTACAATGCATTTATGCAACAGCTTACCCGCCACGAGGAGGTGGTGGAGGAGGAAGAGGAAGATTACGAGCTCTGCTGCCACCTCTGCCACCACGGCCTGGCGGAGGTGGTGGAGGTCCTCTGCGAGGGCTCATATCATCATAATCTCTTCTTGATGGAGGCATAGGTCGTCCCCCACGACCAGGAGGCATTCGATCAAAGCCTCCTCTTCCACGCATGGGAAAGCCTACTGGACGTCCCCTTCTATCATCAAACATCATTGTGAAGCCACCATAGTCATATGTTTCATCATAGAAATTTGGATCATAAGGCTGGGCCCGTCCTTTAATTGGAGACTAAGACACACAAAAACAAAAATAACACCCCTCCCACCAGTTAGCACTGATACAACTATATATCATTAAATTAATATAATAAATATATAAATATGAATTTATACATGCTGAATATGTTCTTTATTTCACAATACTCATAAGCAAGGCAGGGGGAGTGATATACTTCCTGAGAGCTTATCTATGATAGAGAAATTGCTGTTATTGATGGGTGGCACATACATTTCTCACACTTCCTCCCTAATTTAAATTTTCTTATTTTATGGATATGTAAAGCATGACTAAGTCCCTTGGTACCAAAAATGTCTTCTCTCTCCAATAAGGTACACTCCAATTCTAGCAAGCAGGAATAATTTCAAAGGGTGCTAACAGTCCAATGCTTATTTTGTTACTGGAGAATAGGCAATGAATTAAAAATAGAAATGGAAAGATATAATTTTCCAGCCAAATCATCCTGACTTTCATGAATACCAATGAAAGAATAAGTTTAAGACACATTACCTCAGAGATAAGATCCAAGATAATCTTGATACATTCCACAACTCTGTCAGGTTTTCCACCAATAAGCACCACTCTATCAGTGGAATGAGGACAACATTCTTGAAAGAGCTTAATGGTGGTTTGAGTATTCTGTTGAATAGAAGAAAAGCAACCCCAAAATTTTCAAATAGAAGTATTTTAAAGAATTTTATCAACTTATTGAAAACAAAATGGGTAAGACACACACTAAAACATTTGAAAAGAAACAGTCAAACAAATCATTCAACTTCCAGTAACTTTAAGTGAATGCTTGGCTTCCAAGTTCTTACAACAAATTTAATCTTAAAATATTATATTTTTAATACCCGTGCAATGGCACCAGTTGGTATGAAATGCTAGTGAAAAATTTAGATTTTTGAAGTCTTTTAATTATGGCTCATCTACATTGTTATTTAATCAAATACAAGCAAAAGGACCACATATTCATTATAACCTTACAGGTTATATAAGCCTTCATATGTCATAAAAACATGCTTTGGATGCAAGACAGCAATGTTGCTAGAATTATGTCTATTCATCTTGCCTTTCCCTCATTCCACACAAATAGTAAGTTATGCCTAAACGGACCTGGAATTGCCTTTGATGCAATGTGAGGAAAGGACAGAAAAGAACACTCTAGATTGATAGAGACCACTAGCTTTTTAAGACAAAACCTCATTCCTTCACAAAGGAAAAAATGGCCTTTGAGGAAGTGAAAGTTAAAATACCCAAAAACTAAACAAACAAAACCCTAAGAAAACCCCACTATACTTTTTTATAACAATATTCAAGCATCTATTAAATTATCATTAAATAGCTTATGGAGATCTATTGATACTAAATAGTTTTCCTTGTCTAACACCATCGATATAACCTATTTAGCAGTTCCTGATGAATGGCATTTTAATTTAAAAAAGTATCCTTTATTTATAAAGATTACTGCTAATACACTTAAAAGCTTTATAAGTAGTTCTGGGCTCTATCACCAACCGCTACTTCATGTATGAAATATGTTCTTAAGGATCTCATAGATCATAGATGAAGCTTACACTCACAGCATATGAACACAAAAAATTAATTTGTTTATAGAATAAAAGCAGAATCTGAAAAGAATAGGAAACAGTACCTCTCTGAGTTCTTTGATTTTAGCACCCTTGACACCAATAATTCCTCCTGCTAGACTTTGGTGAATTAGAAGTCTTAATTCACAGTCAAAGTCACTACCTTTGTAGTGCTGGTACTGTAAGATGCATACAAGAATAAAATATTAGTCAGGGGAAAAAATAATTGAAAAATACAAATACTCATTTTGATTTTCTTTAAGATTTTTCTCCAAACAGCATGGTATGACTTAATTTACTGCTGAACTGTAATATTGTATTTACTGTTAGAAAAAAAAAAAATCACATTTTTAAGTAATTTGCCTCAACACAAGGTGATGTCAAATTAGCTTTCTTTATTTATTTTATGATTATTGCTGTTGTATAGAATTTTAATATATCCAACAGCACAACACACTTGATTACAATGCAAAGGCAGAATGGAAATTACAGTAGAGCTACTTTAAAAAACAGGTGGTTTGAAGGAAAGGAGGCTGTTCCAAATATTATTCTTCTAAGAAATTTTCTCTGTCCCCTATTAAAAAAATGCCAACACATACATTGAGAGCTATAGGTCTTTCTTTCAAAAAAAGGCTAGGTTTTACTTTCTATTTTAATATATTAAAAATAGGACACAATCATCTAGAATTATCTTGTTTTAAGATCTAAATTTATACCTCTGAAAAAGAAACAAACCTAAGAGACATACCTCTTCCAAAGTAGGGATAATCTTCTTCAAGATTTCTCCAATTGTCTCTGTATCTGCACTTATACTCAAGATACTGTTAAGAGGCCATAGTGTCAGAAAACATAGAGAAGGTGGAAAGTAGCAGAAATAAGTTTATTATTCATAATCATACACAAAATTCTAACAAGACTGACTACACAGAAGACCTTACAATTAATATTCTCCATTTAAAGTAAACCTGTTCACTGGATTTACAACACATGCATCTTTGTTCATGTCCAATACATATGCATGATGAATATAAGAATTTAAGGCTAGGCAGGCCTTGCAGAGAGAGCAAGAGAACTCACGAGAGCTTTTGGAAGGGCTCAGACAGATTAACCAGGCAAGAAATTGACGCAAAACTTAAAGTATGAGTGAATATTCATTTTCCCTGCCACCACTAATTTAGTATACCCTTAACATTACATTGGTAAAACTAGCACACCTTTTTATAGAAAAGGTGAGGATATGTAAGTAGTCAACATTATATCTGGAGTAAGGTTGAGATACCAGTTAGAAATTAGATTACTAATGGGCTCTGCAAAAAACGCAACATAAATACAAGGGGGAAAACCCCAAAACAAAACAAAAAACCAAACCCACAAACAAACAAAAACATAACACAAATGAGAAGTGAAGAAAAGTGAACTAGAGTTAGTATTTCAGCAGAAATAATTATGAATGGACAATGCTGGGGGGAGAAAGGTGGGCCACAAAGACCAGAGCAAGAGACTCCTGAAACAATTTGATTTATAATACAGTAAATATACAACACTTGAAGCTGTGCTCTTTCAATTGAAATAAAATTAGTGGATTGTTTGGGTGGCCAACTCACGTAAAAATTCAGTGACAAAAAGACTAAATGGGGAAAATAAGACAGCAAACTTTAAAAAAAACAATACACGGTCTATAAGGGGATACTATTTATATCAAAGGCAGGTAATAAAATACATTTCTCTCTTTCTAATCAGGCAGTGAGGCATAAACTGTTGGGACATACCGCTCAGGGCCACTGCTGTCTGGGACTGAAACACTGGCATTGTACTGCATTGGTCATTGGCGTTCGTGGATGTTGGCATTGGGCATGGGCATTCAATCAGTAGTTGTCAAGTATGGTACCCGTTTGGCAACAAGCACATTTTTGGGCATAGCCAACCAGGGTTTTCACATGGGCGTTCAGGGGCGGATGGGCCAACGTCATGGTGGGCAACGCAGGGGCAAGTCGATCCAGTACATGGGTAACGGAGATATATGGCCAAAAAAACAAGGAGAGGGAAAAGGGGGAAAAGCAATAAATTTTAATTTAATACAAACTATACTTATTACTTTCAGTTAATGAAGCAAGCGTAAGTTGCTTTGAAGACTAACACAATAATGGATTGCTACATCAAATGTGACTTAACAGTATGGATCTTCACAAGTTACGTTATCTGACTAAACTACATTTTACTTTTAACAATGATGTTTCAGTAGCAGGCTGGCTCATGAAGGTAGACACAAAAACTGTTGAGATTCATATTACTGAAAAATTAAGCAAGTTGGGAAAGTTAGTAGTCCAGACCAGTAAATTATCTGGAGTAAAGGGATGTGTTTATTTACTTAAACAAACAAACAAACAAAACCACTAGCTGCCAAAGTTTGTTGGCGTGATTCCTGACCATTTCAGCTTAATCCTCAATTCTAGTTGCAATAGTTTGTGAACTTAGATGGAACTGATTCTGTTATGATATATTAGCAAATATTGTGTTGAACACAGTCTTGCTTGAAAAAAACTGTAGCTGATCCTAAGTACAGGAGTGTAAACAAATGGAATTTAAGAAGCATTGCCAAGTTTTATAAATACATAACACTCACACTGGATGTGTGTCTAATCACAAGAGTCAACCCACATAAAATATGAATAGCTAAGTAAGCTATGACCATTTAAAAATTCTTCCAAGTAAAATAAAATGCTTCTTTACTGTTCTATACCTGTACCTAAATCATGCAACCCTAACATCAATGGTTTTGTGCCTTATGTCCACACTGTTAAAGCAAAAACAGATGGACCATTATGTTTTGGGATTTTTTTTTAAAGGAAGCTCAAAAATTCTTTTATCGCTGGCTTAAGCCAGCCACCAGAGATAGTTTTCAATAGCACTATAATGGATTCACATAAATGGGAAATAGTATAGTTACAGGTTTTAAGTTTTACCAATACTTCTAATAAGAGATATTAACTCGTGTAATTTAGAGGAACCCTGTTTGAAAGCAAAGAGGTTTAATATAAACCTCTCCTCTCACATAACTTGAGCTGGGCTTCAATTAAAACACAAATTGAAAAACTAAAGTTATCTTCTCCAACAATCATTATAAGTGGCTTATTAGATTATTGTTGTCTAGGTTTGAATGTCTCAATTTCTAGAAATGTATGCAATCAAGTTTTCAATGCAGTGCCCTGGAAGAATTGGTGTTAAATCAATTCAAACTCATGTATACTCACATCTGTACGAAGTGCCTTAATATTTTTGCCACCTTTTCCAATCACTGCTCCAGCATTCTGGAAAATAGTTTTCAGAATTTACATTAGGCTAAAACAGCACAGACTGTTTTTTTGAACCAAAGACTAAGAACAATGTATCTATTTCTGCATTACCTAGTGGGGTGCATTTAAGGGTGGGGTGAGGCTTGTTTCCTTTTGAAAGGTTCAAATTAAACCAAAACAAACTGATGTGGTTTTACCATGAGGAAAAAAAGGTAAAAAAAAAGATCAATGCAGAGATAAAAATACTCAGTAATATTTTTTCAATTTTAAATTTAAGTTTTTAGGCAATTCTGCCTGTATTCTCATAGAATCATAGGTGGACAAGCAGATGAATAAAAAACTGGTTGGATGATTGGTAATAGTTAATGGATCTTATTGCACCTAGAGGCTGGTAAGAAGTGGGGTACCACAGAGGTCTATCCTGGGATCTGTCATGTTTAAACACAGAATGATTTGGGTTGGAAGGGACCTTAAAGATGATCTAGTTCCAACCTCCTCCCCCCCATGGACAGGGATGCCACTCGCTAGATCAGGTTGCTCAGGGCACAACCATCTCATAGTTAGAATATGACTGAAAAAAAAACTTATGGGTTTCCATGCATGTTATATAAGTCAACAGCTTTGCTAGTTTATTTGATCACTTTTAAATGTTTGCAAATTTCACTTTCCCACTCCAAACATTTGAGCAAATGCTACTTTTGATTGAAGCCTATGTAAAACTGATCACTCAGGTAGGTACAGTCTGAAGAATGTAAAACCAATATAAACAATTGCTAATCTCTAGTTGCTAAAATCAAGAGGAATAAATTCAAGATATTCAAGAGGGGAAATTGTAAAACTAATTTTTTACCAGGCTATTTCAAGAACTACGTGCAAAATTATTACTTTTACTATGCAGTTCATACATGATGCTAACAGCACTAAAAATATTTTGCAGCACTCCACATAACTTGACTATTCATTAGAAATGCCATGTAGATTTAAGGTAACATTCCCCTACCCTAAGACAAAAGACTGAATTACTTCAGACAGCACAAACATCTGCATCAACTGGAAATACTAAAGGAGATTCATAAATAGCAGTTTTACTATTTATACTAGTCAATGAAGCAATCGCAAGCCATGAAACATTACTCTCTTATATTTCCTACTGTTGATACTGATAGATTTATTAAATCTGGAGAAATTACTAAAATCTTGAGGAAGTCCTCATCTTGCCTCATATTTAATTTACAATTAAAAGCTGATCATTCTTTAAACTGCTTGCTTTCTAAAGACTAATACATAGTCATTCCCTTGGAAACAACTATGTTCTATTCAAACATGAGAAGCGGCTTATCATTTCTATGTCCTTATTTTTTCAATAAGTACATTTTTTTAAAATCAAAGAAGTCCCATAGATTGTTAGACTCACCCTTGAAAAAAATTACTGAAGATCACAATACACTTCTACTATCATTCATGCACACAAGTATTCCTAAATAAATTTTAAATAAAGCACAAGTTCTTTCTAAACATACACTGTCACCACTGTCTTAAGCAATGGTATAAGCAGTAACATAGCAATACTAAGAGCATACTTTGCTTTGAAGCAAAATGCGCAATTCAACCATTTCATCTGTATTCCGAGACCTTTTGAAGGCCTGCTCTTCTTCCATATCTTCTGCAGGACGTTTGCCTGTAGACAGGTCCATAGGGGGAAAACACAAATGTATATTTAACTTTCTAAGTCATGATAAAACTGTATATCAAGTTATGCACAGTATTCCTAGTGAAGCATTCCCTCCCATTAGCCCAATGCTAACTTCTGACATCTACCCTGAACACCTATAGGACAGAAACAGGTTTTTACTTCATCAGTCTACATATCAATTAATAAGTGAAGACTTATTCAAATCTATAAACTACAGCTGAAATGCAAATTTTTCAAACTTTGCAAAAAAATAACACTGTTTACAACAGTGCGGCATCACCTACTTAGTATTTCTTTTACAACTGGGAAAACCTTAAAGCACAAAAGATTAAAAGCAGCTTGTCCAATACTGAAATACTGGTGAAACAGTAGGAAAGCAGTATTTAAAGTCACTTTAAAAAACTGGCCTGAATCAATACTAATGCTCTAACTCTTCTTCACTAATTATGTCCAAAAGGTTTTTCATTCAGATAATATTTAGAGATATTTCACATATATATACATTCCTTCAAACTAACAACTGCTATAAATTAAATACAGTAATAGATATGCCTAACAGTATCTTTACGTGATCACATTGTCCATACAAATACTGAGCATTTAGCTATCAAATATTTTCAAATCTTTCCTCATAACTTTTAGTTACTTATACCATGACTAAAATACTCCCAAAGAAAAATTACATATTCATGATACAAAAATTACATAAAACCACATGAGACATTTAAAAATTAAAATATTAAATGAAGCATTTGATACAGTTAAAGCATTTCAAAACAGTTACAAACATCAAGACTCAAAAAGTTTCCTTCCTCCCAAAATAAAATAGTCCTTTAAAAAATTTACCATTTGTCTCTGTGTTGGTAAAGGTTTCCTCCTGTTGTTCAGTCTCCATTACCTTTTATTCTTAGAAGGTAAAATCTGTTGCAGAATAAAAAAGAGCTAGTACATTATTTTGTGGGGGAAAAGGTTAATTGTACATCATACTAATGGGAAAAGCAAGAAGAAATGCCTGCTTTTAGAGATTACCAGGTTTATATATACTTGCAGAGCAAACCCAATTGTTCTGGGCAGGATCAAAACCCTACTGCTTCAGAAGCCTATGAAAACAGCATAGATCAGGCTCTGTTCACTTACAGGTCTGATTCTTGCTACAACTGAAAATGAGGTTTGACCTGAGATTTTGCTGCAAAGGTTTTCTTTATAAATGAAAAAACAACAAGACCAAACACATCACTAAGAGGAGAAATAATAATCAAGTACAAAGGCTTACAGACACACAATTGCACTCTGAATTATTTCAACCTTGCTCATTTTCAAGCATTTGCTAGTTTTAAGCAATCACATTTATTGACAATGACTTTCAAATATTTAAAGTGAATAATTATCTGGGTCCTACTTTCAGGATGTTATATACCATATCTTGAATTTCCTTTTTAGGAGATGCTATGTTTCAATATGCTAATTGTTTAGTTTGTAATTTAGACCAAATGTTATAAAATTAATGTTGGTAATTAGACGTTTTCTATCAACTTACAAGCATGCCTTCCATCAATATAACAGATGAACAAAACATTACACACAAGCCATACTTGAAAAATTCTCTTAAAAATAGCACACTATCATGTATAACCTCTGCATAAATGTATGAAGAATCTCAAAAGCAGACAAACTTTTTTGACTTTGTGAAACAGGTACCTCTTACAAGATCTGCTTTTGCTAAATCCACGACTTAAGGATACTTGTAAAACAAATTAGAAGTCAGGCAGAATAATTTTTCACCTTATTAAAAAATTAATTTGTACAGATACAGCCAAACAAAGAACGTTATTTTCCTTCCTTTAGATTTTATTGCTCATCTTTCACAGCCTGAACAAATGGTTGATATACATATCCACAAAGAAAAAGTGAGGTATGTTTAATTTTTTAAAGTATCCTTTTTATTATCCGTTCATTTGTAAGTTACCCTATTTTTGCAGGCTAACAGCAAGCACTGCCGGTAGGTATGCACTCTTTTACAGTCGCTGCTGAGACACCACCTCGCCAGCATATGCCAGTATTTCCAGGCCCCTAATTTGGGCTAATAGAAAAAGCATCGCCTAAAGAATAGCCAAGTGTCGAAACAGACGCTGCTAGAACGCAGGGATGGGGGCAGGAAGAGAAATTTCACCAGGTTCAAATGGCTAACCCTTCCAGACCCCATTCTATTTACGACCCTCCCAAAAATTCTAGAGCTACCGGGAGAAGAAATGTAATATACTGTTCAGGACAAGATGCTCTCGACTAGTTGCTGTGCTCTTTTGTGCAAATCGAGTTTGCAGGATTAAATTGGCTAACGTAAAATTTTTAAAAAACATCTAAAGAATAAAGCAGTCATGGACATGAGTAGAGGGTTGGGAGATGACGGTGTGCCTCTCCCCCGCTCCCTCCGGGACTAAGGGCCATTCCCGCCCGGACGCCTCCCCTTCCACAGCCCACGCGCCAATCTGCTCAGGCTGACGTTCACCTTTACCCCTCGCACAGCTTTTAAAACCAGCCAGCCGCCGAGCGCTCGAAATCCCAGCTCGCGCCCTAGGTGGGAGGGGGAAAGGCGCCGTTACATAACCCCCACAGTCCGAGACCCACCTCCGCGGTGGCGGGGACCAGCAGAAATGGCGGCCGCTGTAATAGCGCCTACCCACTGCTAGGCGGAGCCGTGAGCCGAAAAACCACCACCACGCGGTCACAAGATTTCCCCCACTCCGACCAGAGAGACACAAAGGAGGCACTCAGAGGCCCTCACCCCAGCTCAAGCAGAACCAACAGAGCGCAACAGCCCTACCACGAGAACTCTGGCATGGCCCCTAAAAGCAGGCTCCGCTACAGAACGCTCCCCAATCGTTTTGACACGGCTGCTTCCGCACAGGCCGCAGCAGAGTGCCCTCGTCTTCCTCTCTGCCCACCATAATTACCAAAAACTCCCCCCATCCACAGCTACCCTAGGTAGGTGCCAGAAAAGGGCGGCGACCGCCCCCCCCCCCCCCAGCCTTAGCACGCACCCGCTAGTGCGACCAGCCTCCACCACATCGCCACTCCGGGAACGGCACCAGTTGGGCCGCCGTGCTCGCACTAAGGCCACCGAAGCGCGACGAGTGAGACACAAATCATCCTTTTCACCCTTCCCTTAGGGTAGAGGGAGACCCTTGGGTCCGCAGGTTACACAAAACCACTCCACAGTAGCTAAGGAGTCATCACTCCCGGCCCCCTCCTTCTCCACGCAGCAGTCCCCAGACCTACTCAATTCCGCCGCCCCGCGCAGTTTCTGCAAGAGTCCAAGAAAATCCTGGGGCCCGGCGGCGACAGGCCGCCCGTGTTTTTGTGTCACACAACAGGGTTGGGAGGGGTGCGATCAACAGCTTAGTTTCCTTCAAGCCGGCTTAACCCATCCTCCCTACCCCACCCCCAGTGCAAGCAACACCCCCTCTGAACCGCGCTTACCTGCACCCACCACGTACAGGAGAGAAAGGCGAGCAACTCCTACTACCAACGCACATCCACCAGCACCGCCAAATGACTGGCCCAACCACCTCGTCTCCTCCCCCTATGGGAGACCCAATGCGGCCCCGTTGGGTAAGGCAGCTGCCCATCAGGGCAGGGATGGCCTCTAGTTCGCCCCGCCCTCCGTGTGGACCACGGAGAGAAAGGCCTAAGTAATCACGAGAAGAGCACTATCCACCCTACACTGCTGCAGTGTGCCTAGGTGGTTTGTTTGTTTTACCTGCTTGACGGGGGCCACGAGAAGCGCGGCAAGAACAGTGGAGACAATAGAAGGCAGCGAAGGAGAGCGACCGCAGAGGTTTTTTTGAAAAAAATGGCGTCCGCGAAAACTCCGTCTTGTGCTTGTTCCTTAGTACTGGAGGAGGCGGGGCAGTGTTCTTGCGATGCTTAAAGCCGCACGTGGCGCCACGCCTCCTATTGGCTGCTGAGTTGCGCGGTGTTTTTGGGGTTGTGTACAGAGGGCAGGTGTATTCTTGTCTTTCTTCCCACCTACAACTCAGGTGAGGGGAAGCAGGCTGCCCCGCTGGTTCTGCCCGCCCGCTCGTTCGGCACCGCCCCTGCCTTAGATAAGTGTATGGGGTGGTTCGGCTGAGGGTAGGGTGTGGGGAAAGGGGCTTGGGTTCTGGTCAGCCTGTTTAAGGAGTAGGGAGGCATGTGTCGTCCTTAATGTGACTCTGGTGGGCCGGGCCACCTCGTCTTAGCATCCATCGCTATCCACTGCAGCTAGTCGGTGTCCGCCGGGATGCGGGGTGACAGCTGGCCTTACCGCCCCCGGGGGTCTTGGCACAGGGTAGAAGCACCAAGCTGGTGACAGGCTAAGGACTGCATGGACGACATGAGAAACTTATCGAAATGAGTAAACAAATGGGTTATTTCCTGTAAGTAACTATACCGTTTTTTCCAAGTGGTAGAGTTTTGGGGCAAACTTAAAGGCAGGGTATTTTTTTTTTAGCTGCAGGTTATAATGTCAGAACACAAAAACTTTGTGGTTTTTTACTTTTCTTATAGTAATTTTTCTTTGGTGTAATTCTGTAGGGAGGTTGAGTTCCTTGGTCATCCCCCTTTAGGGGATAAATAGGTTCCAAGTGAAGTTATACAATTTAAATGTGCATAGATGCTTTCAAAACTATCAAGAACTTAGAGCATATTAACCACTGATGTTCTTGAGACAATGGCCACCAAAATTTGGTGCTATTATAGCCAAATCCTGGACTGGGTCTCTAGATAACATTGATAGATCAGGCTAGCCTTCTGTTATCAGTGCCAAAGCTTTAACGTGATTAAAGTGTAAAAATCACCTCTATGATACAAATAAAGACCCCAGGCTGTTCATATTGTAAATGAGGCTTCTCACTTGTGCTCTTCACAGTGCTAATGAAATGAGAGAATAATTTCTAATTCTGAAAGTTAGATGTTTTATTTTAAGTCTTAATAGAAACCTCACAAACAGCAATGAGTCCAGGGGTATAAACACAAAAATTTCTGATGGTTCAGTTTATCTCAAAGTAGATTTTGCTGATGATGTTCAAACAAGTTTAATTAGATTTTCACTGCCTGAAAGGAATATGTTGAAAAAGATACTATTTCACATCCAAAGCTTAAGCATGGTTTAGAGAAATGTCAAGGATGACTGATAGGTCTCTGATGACTATGGAGTTGAATCCTTTTTCAGTCTAAAGCCACTGTATTAATTCTACAGGATACAGATGCAAGGCATCTAGAACAATTGAAGAATTGTTTGAATAAATAACATGCACAAACTTGTGGATTATGCATTGGGAAATATTTATGGCAAAATTTTCCCTGAAAGACTATTGAAAATTAAATTTTAAAGTTAAGTGGTATGCCTTTTTTCTCTCAAATGTTAGTGGAAAAGTGAGAAATGTCTTAGCAGGTAGGAATTTGTTTCTTATGGTGAGAATATTGAAATAAACTTTTGAACTTTTTGGGCTTGATTTAAAATATTCATGTATCACTCTTATTCTGCAAAATCCTCTATCTTCTTGACTGGTGATCTGGGTTAAGGGACTGTCAGGAAACAATAAAAAACAAATCCGGTAATTCTTACACTTTTTTCAAGGATGATTATTTAGCTGATTTTTAAGAGGTAGCTATAGGACATGACCAGCCTTGTCTTAAAGTGGTTGAGTACATTTAAACAATAACTGTTTAGATGCAGTCACTTACAATAATGCCAGGAACCTAAAGTGTAGAGAAAATAAAATTTCCTAAATATTCATGTGAGGAAATAAGTGTATATATAAATGGAATTAAAAGCGATGTACTTATTTAAAAAAACAAACCTAACCCCTCCAACTGTTTCTAACATCACTTAATATCAGAAAAGAATGATTGTATCATACAGGGGATCTACTTTTTGGCATGTTAAGTATTACTAATAATTTTGAACCCACAGCTATCCTTATTCATTAGCTCTTCATGTTTACTAGTCTAACCTTTTCACAATGTAGTCAAATAGTTGCAAGGATGATGTACATGTATAATTACATTGGCTTTAATTTTGATTTTTTTTTAATTTCTGCTTTTAGATTGTATTTAAAAACAACAAGCTTAACAAAGTATAAATGAAAACATTTTGGTGGAAGCTCTTTAGTCACTTTCAAAGGATAATCTACACCTTACTGTGTATAGAGTATTGTAACTGTGGGCTGCGGTCACAGGGAATATGTTCTCCGGCCAGCTCACTCCCTGAGACCGATGGACAGTCACAAGAGAGGCTGCCCCCAGATCTCTACGGAGACCTTTCCGGGTGGCGGTGCTTACAGGGGCTCGCAGCTCCCTGCAGCAGACGGCTGTGGCGCGGGTGACACAGCAACAACCCAATACGAGGGACCGAGTTGAAGGAATCAAGAGGAATCACTTGTTTGAGTTCTAAGGAAGGTTTATTTCCCCAGAGGAGTCAGGGATAAGTGATAATAACTGAGGGCAAAAAACTGCTTTTTAAGGAGGGGAGGGAATAAGGGGAGGATACAACTTTTCACCAATAGGAAGGCATTAGGGAAGGAGTGCAGGGTAAGGGCTATCCAATAGAAGCCAACAAGGAGAAGGAGCAAACCTTGCAATCCAATCTTGCTTCAAGGAAGGGATGAAGGACAGGGAACACTCCAGAACAAAAGGCTGTGCTATCTTTGATAGACAGGGGGATTGACATACACTTGGCAGGAAAATCTTGGGGTAAACAACTCAGGACTGAACCATTAGGGAAGCCAAATGGGGTACATGGAATGAACCATTACAAACTTATAACAAGGAATATTTAAAACCTACTACAGAAGAACAAACTGTAAAATAACAGACTACCACAGAGTATCAGAAATTGTTTGCTTGGGTTTTGTTCTTTCCTTTTTTCCTTTCCTTGATTTTTCTTTCAAAGAATGTAAAATTGGTAGTTAGAAGAGGAGGTGGTTTGGGGTTTTTTTAATTTTTTTTTATTGGACCGTATCTTCTTTGGAAGCCTTTTCATCATCCAAACAATATATGTTAGACCATGGGAAAAATGGAGGGAAGTAGAAGAGGAGAAAACTTTGTAAAGCATGAGTCTTTAAAGGCTTTATTTCATACAGGTAATAAATTATTAATTCCTTGGTCTTTTACCTTGTCCTCCCTTTTCTTTCTCAAAAGAAAACCCAAGCAAGCCATGACTGTGCAAGGCATCTTTGGGTTATTTTCTGAGAGGCTGTATTGGGTCTGGCTGGGATGGAGTTAACTTTCCTCAGGGTGCTGTGCTTTCTGTTTGTAGGGAGAATGGTATCCATGACTTAGGCATGTTTTGGCTACTGCTAAGCAGTGCTTGAACACCATCAAGGCTGTCTCTCCAACCTTGCCCTGCCCCCAAAGGCTGATAGGCTGGGGAAGGGATTAGGAGGGGACAGAGCCAGGCCAGCTGACCCAAAAAGACCAAAGGGATCTTCCATACCAGATGATGTAATGACCAGAATTAAAAGTGAAAAGGAAGGGAGAGGGGCATTTTTAAGGTGTTTGTCTTCTGAAGTAACTGCTATGCATAGTAAAACCCTACTTCCAAGGAAGTGGCTGGACATCACCTGCCCATGGGAAGTAGAGAATAAATCCTTTTGTTTCCTTTACTTTGGCATGCAGCCTTTGCTTATATTCATTAAACTGCCTTTATCTCAACCCAGAGGTTTCACCATCTTATTTTCTCCCCATCCAGCAGAGGAAGGAAAGTGAGAGAGTAGCTTGGTGAGCACCTGGCTGTCAGTGAAGGCCAACCCACCACAGAGGGTGTTAGTCTGTGCATGATTTAGAACTGTAAAAGAAAAAGCTTTTGTCTGGTGAGAGGTTTGATTTCTTTAGACTTGCTTTCATTTGGCTGGACATCCAGCAAGGTTTATTATTCTTCAGTTATTAGGTATAGAGTAGAATAGTTCAGTTGGAAGGAACCTACAACAGTCCTCTAGTCCAACTGCCTGACCACTTCAGGACTGTCAAAAAGTTAAAGCATGTTCTTAAGGACTTTGTCCAAATGCCTCTTAAACACTGACACACATGGGGCATTGACCACCTCTCTGGGAAGCCTGTTCTGGTGCTTGACAACCCTCTTGGCAAATAAAGTCTTTTTAATGTCAAGTTTGAACCAGGTACAGTTTGAACCATTCCCACACATCTTGTCACTGGATACCAGACAGCAGAACTCAGCACCTGTCTCTGCTTCCTCTGCTTCTCTTCAGGAAGCTGCAGAGAGCCATGAGGTCACCCCTCAGCCTCCTTTTCTCCAAACTAGACAAACCCAGAGCCCTCAGCAGCTCCTCATAGGACATTCCTTTCAGCCCTTTCACCAGC